GGGGCGCGCGGGCGGGGGCGGCCGGGCGGCGGCGGCGGCCCGAGTGGGCCCCGGCGGGCGTGAGCGCGGGCGAGCGCGCTGCCTGCATGCGCGGAGCTCTAGTCCCGGGCGGCCGCCGCGGCAGCGCCCTAACGGAGGCAGCCGGACGTGGAGAGGAGCGCGGAGCCCGGAGGCGCCCCGGGTCCACGCTGGACCATTGTGACTGTCTAGCGCCCGGGTGCGCTGCGAAGACGAGGACCGGACTCTTTTGAATCTCCCGGCATCTGGGCGCGGGGCGACTCTTGGTATTTTCTAACTCAACTCGTGGATTGGAACGTGGCTCCGCTCTGAGCGCGGCCGGCGACTTGTAGGAGCCCAGCCCTGGCTGTGGCCGCCGCGCACGCCCTCGGAAGACTCGGCGGGGTAGGGGCACGGGCTGGCCGCGAGAGTCTCCGCGTGCAGAGCGGGCGGGCCGAGGGCTGATTGGAGGGACTCCCCGGAGAAGCGATTTGGGATTTGTGGCCAACAGCATGGAGGAGAATGACCCCAAGCCCAGCGAAGCGGCGGCGGCGGCGGCGGCGGAGGGGCAGCGGCAGCCGGAATCCAGCCCCAGCGGCGGCTCGGGCGGCGGCGGCGGCAGCAGCAGCCCGGGCGACGCGGACAGTGGCCGCCGGCGGGTTCTGATGCTGCCCGCGGTCCTGCAGGCGCCGGGCAACCACCAGCATCCACACCGCATTACCAACTTCTTCATCGACAACATCCTGCGGCCCGAGTTCGGCCGGAGAAAGGACGCGGGGACGTGCTGTGCCGGCTCCGGAAGAGGCGGCGGCGAAGGCGGCGCAGGCGGCGCGGAGGGAAGCGGCGGCGCGGGCGGCGCCGAGCAACTCCTGGGGTCGGGCCGGGAACCCCGGCAGAACGCGCCGGGTGCGGGCGGACCGCTGCCCGGCGGTGGCGACGGCGACTCTTCGGGTGACGGCGAAGGCGGCTCCAAGGCACTCTCGCTGCACAGCGGCGCCAAGAAAGGCGGAGACCCCGGGGGCCCCCTGGACGGGGCGCTCAAGGCGCGCGGCTTGGGTGGCGGCGACCTGTCTGTGAGCTCGGACTCGGACAGTTCGCAGGCCGGCGCCAGTCTGGGTGCGCAGCCCATGCTCTGGCCGGCTTGGGTCTACTGCACGCGCTACTCGGACCGACCCTCTTCAGGTGAGTGCTGGGGACGCATGTCCTGGCCCGCCGTGGGGACGCCCGTGGGGCTGCGGGGCAGCGCTGGCGCGGGAACTTACCCGGAGGAAGAAGACACCAGGATCCCTGTCCCCCAACACAAAGAATACACACAGCGACATTGTGGCTGACGCTGATCCCGGCAGCGGCCAGGAGGAGAGGGGACGGGACTGATTCTCAAGGGGGTACAGACTTCGTAGAACGGCAGAAGCACAGGACCTCCTTTCTCTCTTGCCTTTTGGGCCTCTCCTTGCAGCCCCTAGCCCATCCCTCCCTCGGCTGGAGTTTATTTGGTGGGAACGGGGTGGCTGGCAGACAGGCCCGGAAGCTCACACTCTCTACCCCTTCTCCGTCTTCTTCCAAGTCAGTCCAGACCCGGGACCCACGCCCAGCCCACCGCAGACCTAGACTCATTCTACGACCCAGTTATCCCAGATGTGGCCAGGGAAGAAAGCAAGGCTGTCTGCTCTTCCTCAGCTGGGGCTGATGAGGGGGCCTGGGGGGATCCGCGGCGGGAAGGGATGGAAACAGAGGCGCCCTTTGCCCCGTGCCTGGTTTGATTGCCGAGCCGGCGCGCACACAGCTTGGAGGAGGGAGACCTGCACCCCCCAAATGGAAAGGACCTTTCCCAGAGCTTTCCTGGGGCAGCTCTGCGTAGGAAAGGAGCAGATTTCAGAGGGAATGTGGCGGGAGCCCGTGGGGGTGTGCAGAGCTTCTGGGAGTGTTTTTCATAGATCCGGGATTTTTAAAAGCTAAGTCCATGCCCCTGTAGAAATCATCAGCCGCATTAAATGCGGGTCTGCGGCTGCGAACCGCCATTAGGCGCAGACTCCATTTGTCCCCGAGCCGGCAGCGCAGACCGGACCCCCTTGCCCCCCCAGCCCTCAACTGTTTTGCGGGCGTCGTTTACCCACTTCACAGCACAACTAAGTCACCCCTTGGCCGCCTTCCCGCAGAGATGGTGTGTATATCTCTGATGAAATCCAGATTTCTCCAGCTAGGTCTGAAATTTGCTCCATTGTTCTCGTCTCTCTCCTTTGTTAATATTTAATTAACATATAGGCTCACAATGCGGCCGGCGAGGAGCCTCGGCCCGGCTTTGTGCGGCGCCGAAGTCGCGGCCGCGCCAGGCCCCAGTGGCCCGCGGGAGCCCGTCAGTCCGGCCTGGCTCGGCGGCTGGTCTTACTGGACTTAAAAAAAAAAAAAAAAAAACTCGTAATATAAGATTTGTTTCTTGGCGTTTAAGAAAGCAGCAACGCAGAGTTTTCTTACGGAGGTTTGGTCCTGTTTCCGAGACTCCTTAAGTGTTTGCGGTTTGAAAGAAAATCAAGAAAGAAAAGGAACTAAAAATTCTGATTCTAGGAAGATTTTCTTTGCGTAAAATGGTGTGTATCTTTCGTGGGCTGATTCGTTGTGTGCGAGCGCCCCAGGACCAGAGGAGTTTGGGGGGGTGGGGAGGGCAGGAGTGGAGACGGAGAACCGGCTCCGCTACGCGAGGCTTCGGTGGGGGGCCGAGCAGGCGCGGGGCCGCCCGGGGCCTGTCGAGGCCTCGCCGAGACACCACCTTCCTCCTTGGCGCGCCGGGGACGCTGGCCGCCGCCCCGGATCCGCACCCCCTGGGTAAGAGCCAGGCGTCTGGGCGAGGAGCCGGTGCCCTCGGCGTGGGTGCGACGGGACCGTGAGTGTGCGCGCGCGTGGGGCAGTGCGCGTGGGTGGGTGTGAGCGGGGGCGTGCTCTGGAAGCTAAAAGGCCCGGAGTGTGAGCCGAATCAGCCCTTGGCGCCCCCGCGCCCGCGCGCACGGCCCCCTCTTTCCGATCGTGCCTCCCGGAGAGGGAGGGAGGCCTCGGCGCCCCCTGGGCCTGCGGACCGTCCCAGACCCCTCGCTCCGCGCGAGCTGAGGACCGAACCCACCTTCCTGGTCCGGGTCCGGGTGCCTCCGGGGGGGCTCACAGCTGGATCCCTCCGCCAGCGCTGCGCTGCGTGGCCCGGCAGCCCCTCGACCCTGCAGAGAGGGGCGGGGACCTGGGTGCTCCGGCTGCCCGAGGTCTAGCCTTCTCCAGCCTCCCACCGAGGGCGTCTCGGAAGAAGCTGGGGCCAGGAGCCCCCCAGAGTCAATTCACACACTTCACAGATTAAGAACCCCAGGCGTGCAGCCGTGACTCCCTCCTGCAAAGGCCTCTTCCCTCACAGACATGCTCGCGGGGCCCACCTTCTGAAACCAACGAAAAGAACGCACTTGGCCCCTTTCCCTCTGCTCTCCTTTCTCAGGCCTTTTCCCATGGCCAGGTCCTGAGAGCCTCACCACCTCTGTCCCAAGCCAACCTCAAGTGCTGTGGGGCGTCCCAGCGGAGGAGGTGTGAGGGCTCAGAAGTGTGAACCTCTGTCCAAGGTCACCCGTGCCCCCTCTCCTGGACAGGGGACTGGGGAGACCTGGTGCGGTGAAGGGGTAGGAAGCTCAGTGCTCCAGCCCCGCTCAGGCAAGGACATGTGGGCGCCTTCCCGTGGGGAGGCAGACCTCTGGGCCCCTCCTGTTCTCGGGGCCCACCTGCCCCTGCACCCCCGGCCCTTAGGACCTGGGGGTGTTCCCTGTGGGAGTCCCTTTACACCCCCCAGGGCTCTTCCTGCTACTCCGGCTGCCCCGCCCCGATCTTTCCCCCTCACCTCTCTTCCAGCACCTACCCCCGTCCTGTCCTTATTCCTGGACAGAACCTCAGAAAGGGCTAGAAAAAGCCTGGCCACAAAGTTGTGCTTTTTCGTTTTCCTTCAGGAGTTCTTTCATCCGGAGCCCTTTCTGCTAAGCCTGCCCTTCACCTGCACTCACAGTGCCTCCTGCAGACGCCCTGGGCCACCTCCTCGCTCCCCAGGGGAGGGTCCTGGAGGGGGGTGGGAGCTGCGCCTCGTCCCATCTCACGTCCAGGCCAGCTTTCCTCCAGGTCAGCCAGCTGGACCTGGGCAGCCGCCTCCCTCCCGGCCTCTGCATCCTTCCGTGCCCGTGGGTGACCCACCCCTGAGTAAGGAGGCAGGCCTGGAGCCCTCCTCACCCGAGCTCTCTGTGTCCACCGCGCCTGTCTAGGTCCCAGGTCTCGCAAACCAAAGAAGAAGAACCCCAACAAAGAGGACAAGCGGCCCCGCACGGCCTTCACGGCGGAGCAGCTGCAGAGGCTCAAGGCCGAGTTCCAGACCAACAGGTACCTGACGGAGCAGCGGCGCCAGAGCCTGGCCCAGGAGCTCAGCCTCAACGAGTCACAGATCAAGATTTGGTTCCAGAACAAGCGCGCCAAGATCAAGAAGGCCACGGGCAACAAGAACACGCTGGCCGTGCACCTCATGGCGCAGGGCCTGTACAACCACTCCACCACCGCCAAGGAGGGCAAGTCGGACAGTGAGTAGGGGGCGGGCTCCAAGCCCAGTCTCAGTCCGAGCTAAACAATGCAATAATTTCGAATCATAAATAAAGGGCCAGTGTATAAAGATTATACCAGCATTAATAGTGAAAATACCGTGTATTAGCTATGGTTCTGCAATATTCTGTGTATATATAATTTACAGGAGGTGTAAAATCCAAAATATCTGACTATAAAATATTTTTTGAGTTTTCTTATGTTTATGAGATTATGCTAATTTTACGATTTTTTTTTTTTTTTTTTTTTTGCGAAGGGGGCTGCGTAGGGTTTCATCTTTTTTAATCCCCTAAGTTCCATTATGGGACATCAGACACTTTTTTTCTTTTTTTTAATTTCAAAAGAAGAAAACATTTAAAACAACTTGCTGAAGTCCAAAGATTTTTATTGCTGCATTTCACACGACTGTGAACCGAATAAATAGCTCCTACTTGGTCTATGAGTTCTGCCACTTTGTTCGTGTGGGCTTGGTGAGGGCAGCAGGAGGGGCCGCATCCCCGGCCTCGCCCTCGCCATCCGGCAGTCGGCGGCGAAAGGGCCCTGGCGGGGCGGCGGCTGGAAGCTCGCCCCCGCCCCCCCCCCGCCCTCCCCCCCATCGCGCCTGGACGTGCCGGGCTGCCTGGGCCAAGGGGCCCACGGCCGGCTCCCCCGTCCCCGCCTCCTGCCTTCCCTCCCGGTCCTCCGGTCCCCCTGCTCGCCGAGGCCTGGCCTCCGCCTCCCTGCGTGCTTCCGTCTGCGTCTGTGTCTCTGTTCCCAGTCCAGCCGCCCGCCTTCCGCCTCCGGGCACCCGCTCCGGGGCTCAGGGCTGAGGGGCCGGGTATGGGGCCGGAGGCCCGCGGGCGGTGAGGCCGCCCCACCACTCCGGGCCTGGGCCCAGAGACTCCCCTGCGGCTCCATCAGCTGCCCAGGGGCCGCCTGGGCCCCAGAAACGCGGCCGAGGCCCGCTGCCTCCGTCTCTGGCCGGCAGAGGCCTGGAGAGGGAACTGGCATTTCCTCCCTTCCTTTTTTCTTCTCTTTCTTTCTTTTCTTTTCTTTTTTCTTTTTTTTTTTTGTAAAGTGGCCGCTTCTGCTATAGAGAGCATTCTTTCAAGGTTAAATATGTATGTATGTGTGTGTGTGTGTGTGTGTGTGTGTGTGTGTACGTGTATATATATATGCTCATATACACACACACAAGCAGACGTGTAAGAGTCCACAATTCTGGAACATGTGGCTACCTTGACTTTTAAAGGAACTCAGAATTCTCCAGGATCTAGAGGAAGGAAGAAAATGTGTAAATAATCATTTCTTATCACTTTTTGTCTTTCCTTGTTTTTTTAAAATATACATTTTATTTTTTTGAAGGTGTGGTACAGTGTAAATTAAATATATTCAATATATCCCCATCAAGTGCATATATATAAACAAACACATTATCTATATCTATATGTATAACTCCACACTGTCTTCTGTTTAGTGTATGGAAAAAGAATTGTGTCCAAATGTCCATCTGCACTGGGACAGCCCAGGGGATGTACCATGGCTGAGCCAGGAGTCATGGCTCTGCCCCTGAGGACTGAGAGCGAACTTCTCTCTTTGCCTTAAACTTCTTTATTTCACTGCGATAATAGTTTCACTTTGTACATACTAATGTAAACCTTTTTAAAACAAAAACTATAAAAGCAAAAGTTGTAATTTAAAATTCTGTGAATAACCATCTGCTGCTTAGGAAACTCAATGAAATGATATGCCTTGTTAGCAGGAAGCAAAGTTTTTTGGTTTTTTATTTTTTTATTTTTTAGTTTTTAGTTTATAAAACATCTGCGTTTTACAGTTCCAGTAGTAAATATTTATAATCTTATAAGAAATGAATGTTTCTATTTACAACTGTGGTTATCAAAATTGTGAACATTTCCCCTGCATTTTTGTGTGTTTAAATTCTTGAAAGTTACAGTAAATAAAAAAAAAATGCTTTATTGTAAAATATTGGATGTCCAAGGTGTAATGACTAGGTTTTTTTTAAGTGTGTTTCTGAGTCCAGCCACACTACCCTGGGCATCCTCCCCGGTGCTCAGGTGCTCATGGTCTTCGCCTCTGCCAGCAGGTGTGCACATACCTACCTTCATAGCCAGAAGCGTAATTTTTTTTTTTTTAATAATGAAGACACTTTGGATAGCTCATGTGAATACAGAACAACCAAAGTAATTTAAGTACACATTTCTTTACCAGAAGGAAGTGTTCCAAAGTACGGTGCTTTTCCGTTGAATAAATATTTAAAATCCTGCAGGACTCAACAGGTCTCCATCCCCCTGGCTGCTCCTCAGCTGGACAGAGGCGCTCACCCGCTGGGGAGAGGGACTATTAGTTGACCTGAGACAAAGAGGCTCTCCCCTTTTACGTTTGGTTGTTGTCTTTACCCCCAAAGCAACGGACATGGACAACATCCCAAGGCCTGGAAAGGACCAGCTTTGCCGGAGCTGACCGGATGCCTCTGCTGGAAGCCGTTGGGATTTTCGATCTCGGGACTCACAACCCACTTGGCCACGCATGACAGCACCCAACTGCCCTATTTCCAAACTTTCTTGGCTTAAAAAAGTTTTATTCTCCCAGAAAAAGAAGCTCAGAGACTAGAGAGGATCATCTGTTCCAAAGGCGACCTTTTGGGCATTTCAGTTCCACACTGGCTTCCCAAGAGGAAGGACGCTGGGCCTCCCGGCAGGAGCTGAGCTGCTCCCGGGTTTTGCAAAGACAAGTTCCTCACTGCGGAGGCTCCTGAGCTCCAGCTGCCTGGAGCATTCATGGGGCGGGATCACGCCAGCCGTCCCCAGCGTCTTCCCTAGCCACCACCCCACTCCTGCACAGATCTGGGGGTTCCTAAAGACAAAATAAAACCCCACTAGCACAACTTCTATTACCCGATTGGCCTCTCTCTCCCTCTTTTTAATAAAAAGACAACATAGCAACATTAAGCAGTCATTTTTTGGGTTTTGTTTTTTAATCTGTTGGCAAATCATAGCACTGTTAAGGGGCTATGTATGGTTTTGCAAGATAATGAGTTCCCTGTCCTCAGAGGCATGCAAGCAGACACTAGGCCTACAGTGGCATATGACTTTTCTTTTGCCTTTTTTCCCCCTTCCGGTAGGGGATTGGACTAAATGAGCTTTCAGACCTTCCAAACGCTGAGATTCTGATTTTGCTCCTGTGTTTATTACATTTTTAAAATTCAACAGCTACAGTCTAAACTCATAACTCATGGAGATCCACTTCAGTGCTCGCCAGCCACTTTCACTAGGAGCTAGTGGAGACCAGAGTCAGGCCTAAAGGGAAGGCCACGCTTTCTGAAGTCCAGCTGCCACTCGGTTCCACCTGGACCACCACGGACGGTTCTACGTGTCTTGGATTTGGACCCGGGCTGCAGCACCGGTGACGCACCGGGCTGGGCCCCCACCAGGTCGTTGCCCCCGCAGGAGGCCGGTTTCCTAAATGTCTCTCCGAGGAAAGTTCCTTTGTAAAGGAAGGCCTTGCTCCTTGGAGCTGAACGGCCCCCGCCCCCAGGCCTGGCTGTGTCCCTACCAGGCCCAGGCAGAGCTGTGTCCACAGTCCTCCTTAGTCGGGTAGAGATCAGGCTGAGGCCTGGGAGCCCGGGGACGGGAGTGGGGAGGACAGTCGCGGCCACCCCCAGGCCTGCGGAGCAGGGTTCCTTGGCGCTTAGAGAGCCTTCCTCCTCCGGCTGCCAAAAGGGGTCGAAGGAGTAGCGCCCGACCCTCGTGCTGGCGTCAGAATCTGCGGGTCAACACAGGCCTGAAGGTCGCCCAAAGTAAACGGCCAAGCGCTTTCTTTAGGGGAGACAAGGGAGAAGCCCCCAGTCTGATCTCCAAGGAGGTCCATCTTTTCTGTTTTCCCTTGAGTGAAAAGGGCAAATCCGTGGGGCTTCTGGACCGCTCGGTACAGGTGTGCCCGGGCGAACAGCGTGCACAGCAAACACCAGGCACTATGTATGCAAGTACGCTCGCAGGCCGCGCGGGGCCGGCCGGGAGGCCCCGTTTGCTCGCTCCGGCTCGGATAAAAGTCGTTCTGTCTCCCGCTTGTTTAATATCCGACCTCTCCGGTCTCTGCCCGCCCGGGCAGCTCCCCAAGCGCCCCCGGGAAGGTCCCGGCTCCTCCGAAAACGGCCGCTTGCCAGGAGGAGCCGCCGCGCTCTGGGAGGTTAATAGCGGCTGGCGACCAAGGCCTCGGGGAGACCGACTCCCCCGCTCCGCACCCCGACCCTGCCTACACGCACGCACTGCAGCCCCAAGCCGGGCCTCGGGGTGGGGACCTGCTTTCAGCGCTTCTCCTTCCTATCAGAGCCGAGCAAGAGGCCTCCTCCGGGCCTCCAGGAAGAGGAGGCGGGTGCGGGGGGAGATGGGGTGGCGGGAGACAGGCGGTCGCAGGCGGGACGCAGCGCTGAGTCCCCTGACGCCGCGGGCCCCCTTCGCGGTGCCGGAGCCCCGAGCTCCAGGGCGCACTTCGTGAGCCGGGCCGCGCGAGCCCCTCATAGACCCTTCATGTTTTTATTAATAATCTCGTATAGTTCATTCTGTTTATGATTCCCGCCCACAGAAAATCAAAGGCCAGTCTTGAAATCTCCTGAAATGTAATAACAACATTCATTAAAGTGACTCCTAATTACGAGATTTGATCAAGCGTGGTTGGCCTCGCGCAGGGCCTGGCTGGTGAGACTGACGATGACCGCGTTATTATTATTGCTGTTGTTGTTATTAGCCTCCTGCTCAGCCGCCAGGGTGACTGGCCACCTCTCCGGCTTGGGCCCAATCCCCGCAGAGGGGTGTGGGGAGCCCCCCAAGGTGGGGCTGGGGGAAACGACCAGAGTCTTGGGAACAGGTGTGGCCCGGGCTTGCCGCCCTTCGCGGAGCCCAGCCCCAGGCCCTTGCCAGGCCTGGGCAACACCTGCGGGCGGAGGTAGGGTGTCCCCAAAGCCCTAGGCCCTCCGTGTCCCCCGGGGACGCCAGGACCGGTGTTCCGTGAAGGGAGAATCCTGGGGCCGGAGACC